GTGTGTGTGTGTGTGTGTGTGTGTGTGTGTGTGTGTGTGTGTGGATGTAAACCTCTTATAACTTTTGAACGGCTTGACCGATTTGATCGCGGTTGGTGCCATTCGAAAGGGCTTGCCCAAACTTAGATTTTCTGAAAATTTGAACCGATTCGGACCGATAGATTTTGAGAAATCGTAAAAAAACTACAAAAAAGATTTTTTTCAAAAGTGGTTTTTTTGAAATAACTTTTAAACGGCTCTACCGATCGATTTCACAAACTAATCAGCTCTTAACGTCAAAAAACCACGTCGATCGCCGCCAGTCCGGTCAAAATCGGTTAATTCGTTCGTGAGTTATCGTTGACGAAAGAAAACCGAAAAAAGCGTTTTTTCGGAATTACTCCGAATTTTTCCACTCTGTCAATATAAACTCAAAGATTTTTTATGAAGCTTAAAAAACTGCGTCGAATGCTGCCAACCGCGTGAAAATCGGTTCATTCATTCAAAAGTTATTGCGATTTGAAAATTCAAAAAATAGTGTTTCATCAAACTTCTATCAAACATCTAGCCAGATGTTGAGTCTGAGCAGCTTCCTTGGCTTCAATCTCCTGCTGTATGGCGTCCTTGCGGGTGGCTATGCGAGTCTCCAACATTCCGTAAGTGGCGTGTGCATCAGTATAACGATTCTCTGTGTGGTACTCGTGCTCGAGTACTTCCGGGTACATCTCAAAAATAAGCGAATTCAGGGCAGTGATGTTTTGCTAAAGCCTGGAGCTTTGTGTTGCCACTGAGTCAATAACAGTCAGCGACAGTGTGTTGAGTTCCTCATCAGTTAAGCGGTCTACCATGGCGTACAATGCATCCAGGTACTGCTTCTGCATAGCAATAGCTGCTTCGAACTGCATTGCGGGGTTAATCTAGGCCCGAGATCGAGTTTTCAGTCAAATAAAGCGGAAAGTTCAGCGTACTGGTGTACGTATGACTACCAAGAGCAGCACCCGATGTGCTCCGCGATGCCCCTGACACTCGAGCCTTCCTAGCGGAAATAAAATTCACTCACACAACACAATTTTAAGTGGTATAATTATTTAATTTAATTGAGATAGAGCCAGCCTGATCCGGCTCGAGGGACCAAATGTAAAATGATGAGACGCAGTTTTTCCGCTATTTCAGCATTTTACACTAAGTCTGCTGAAAAATTTTCAGAGTGGTACAACAAAAAACAAACATTTAAAAAAAATTTTTAAATTCCCGTTGAGAAAATCGAGGTTTTACCCCGTTTTTCAAAAATCGAGATTTTATCAGATCTCGACGTTTTGAGGTCTCAGGAAGCTGTCCTGACTATTCCCGCGATGGTGTGTGTGTGTGTGTGTGGTAAACGACCGTATTCAAACCTCTCATAACTTTTAAACGGCTTAACCGATTTCATCGCGGTTGGTGCTATTCGAAAGGGCTTGACTAAACTCAGATTTTGGATACAATTTGGATCGATTTAGACCGGTAGATTTTGAGAAATCTCAAAAAACCTACGAAAAAATTTTTTTCCAAATGTAGTATTTTTGGAATAACTATAAGCGGCTTAATTGATCAATTCCAAAAACTAATCAGCTCTTAACACCAAAAAACCACGTCGATCACCGTCAGCCCGGTCGAAATCGGTTGATTCATTCGCGTGAGTTATCATTAACGAAAGAAAACCGGAACAAGTGTTTTTTCGGAATTACTTCAAAATTACTAGTTTGATCAATTTAAAATTGAAGATTCTTTATGAGGTTTCGAAAACCGCAACAAATGCCGCCAACCGCGAGAAAATTGGTTAATTCATTTAAAAGTTATTACGGTTTGAAAATTCAAAAAATAGTGTTTTATTTAACTTCTATCAGACTGTTGAGCTCGGAGAGCTCCAAATGACACGAAAATTATATTTTTGAGCTCAGAGTACAATTTTGAGCGTTTAAGTATGGAACTAGCGGGAAGTTGCAGGGATGGTCTTTAGGGTCAACCGTTTTCCTAATTTTTTTTTTTTAGCTTGAGATCCACTTTGTGGAGATTGGTACTGCAAATGGTCATCTTACTTAGTTTTGTTTAATCGTTTAAATATTTAAATTCAAAAAAAAGTAAAGTAATATTTAAAATAAAATAAAAAAAAAATTTTTTCAAAAATGTTAGAAATACTTCATCAAATCATATTTATATTCATCTACGCCATCTATATTGAGTTGAGGAGATGAGAGTCGATCTGGTCGTTTCCAAATAGTTGATACGCGTCGCTTAGTTACCTCTATGTTATTATTATTATTATTAACATCACTTTTTGTTTCGCTTTCAGAAAGCTAACTGCTCACGTTATATTCTCTTACTGATTATTGTATTTTTAATACGTGTTAATTATCTAGAGAAGTATTAGATTGTTATTAGAAGATTTAAGATTAAATAAAGTTTATAATAAAAGTGTTTATTATTTAATAGTAAGTGTTAAATAAAATATAAAAACTGACAAAAAAATTAACTACTTTTTTTTATTTATTTATTAAACGAATGAGCATTATGAGTCATGCACTTTTGGATTTGCCAAACTTTTTTTCTTTATCTTTAAGACCGAGTTTAAAAATTTCTTATTTGAAAAGCTTTTAGTATTTGGAGATAAATTTAAAAAATATGAGCCCGACAAGTCATTTCAGAGCTAAAGTGATAAATATGGCTCATAAATAAACTTTTTATTTCAACATCGAAAAGAAGAAAAAAGAAATGATTAAATTTTAATAAAAGTACCTACGTCAAATATATTTCTTCCCTTTTTATATATATATATATATATATATATATATAAGGGATAAAAGAGAAGTGGCGGAGGATAAAGATGGTACGTGATGAGAAGTCACGAGTTATATATTACTCACCCTAAGGTGTAAATGTCTATTGCTACGTATTTTGCAATTAGTCTGATAGCCCATTTCAGTCCGGGAGTCTGTGAATGAGTTGTAGTAGCACAGTATAGTAGTAGACTAACACAATATAGAAGAGAAAGAGCAGTCGAGACCGGAAGAGATGGCTGACAGAGAGGGTTGAATATACTCGAGCTAGTAGGGGTATGAGTTAAAGAGCGAGAGTAATACACAAGTTTTGAGCTTGAGACAAATGTTTAGAACAATTGTTCTCCATTTGTAAATTAAAGCAACTACGTAAATATACTAGCCCCCTTGAACAGCTTTTTCTCAGCAAGCTATTTTGTATACTATTCACTAAAAATATACTATTGTGCGCGTGTTTTATTTTATCTCCATGAATACGGATATGAATGCAAAGTAATTTTATTTTACGCTTAAGTATTTCTTTCATACATTTTAACAAAACGAACAAAAAACTTAGTAATTAAGACTAATTTTTCATTTTTCTTAATCAAATATCATGATTTGTTGATAAAACTTCAAAAGAAAATTTATCAACAACTCTTTTTACAAGATTTAATTTCGCGTAGTGTTGTCATTCAATAACTACAAAAAAGTTATTTAAATCATTATCTCTGTTAGTTTTTTAATACAAAAATTAAATTATCTAACTAATAGTAAAATGATTAATTAAACTAAAATACTAACCAAAAATCTTAAATTGAGTTAAAGGTCTGCTAGTAAAAGTTTTGCAGTACAAGGCCTGCTTTACCGTTTTACCCACCGAACGCAAAAAATAATATTATGCTATCATCACCATTGTCCAGAATATTAAACATATGTAATTACATTTCAGAAAATTCTAAGACTCTTGACTTCACGAGTTTCAATAAGAATACTGGCAATAATAATTTTATCCTGGATAAAATTTTATCTCGGATTGAAAAACTGGCCCTTAGATAACAAACAACTAAGTCAAATTAATAAATTAAAGTAATCATGTCCATATTAAAACCAGTAAAATATTAATCTCACTTTCAATATATCCCTCACATCTTTAGTTAATTTTTATATATTATAATTATTATTAAATTAATATTACATTATATTTATTGTAATATCTGTAAAAATTCCAGTATTTTCTTTTTCTTTTTTTATTTTTTTGTTATTACTTTTCTTTTGTAAACGCTACCAGTACAGCGCATTTAGTTTTAAGTTATACTATGTAATTTGTATAAACTTATTTAGAGACTCTGTTATTGGCCTTTTGACTGTTGGGTTGTATAAAGAGGAAATAAATAAAAATTTTATTATCTATTATCAACTAAAATTTTATGAATTTTTTAAATAAAATAAAATAGTAAATGTTATTTTAATAAATGTAAAATACTGAAATAAAATAAAATGTATTTAATTCGCACCTATTCTTATAAGTTTATCTACAGGAACAGAGATTGTTCGCAGTAAATTTGTAAGGTATATGTGTAGGTGTAATAGGGGTAGAGCGATGTAGTAGTTTAAGAGCAAGAGGTTGAATAAGATGCTGGCTGGTGGATGTTAGATGGTGGATCCTGGAAGGTGAATCTCTTGAGCTATCTTGTTCACTGTAGGTGAGCCAAAATTTACATAGGCGTATACGCAGTCGGAATAACAATGCCAGAGTCTCTGAGACACATAGAATAACTTCATCCGCCGTGGTGGTTCTTAGAACAACCGGAAACACCTCAGCATTCAAATCTATTGACTATATCTATGTATTCTCAAATATAAATATATAGGTATACATATGTACATACATATATGTGTGGTTGCAGTAAGTGCACGTAATGCATACAGTTAGTTAATAAAAAGTTTTTCTACTTTAATTATCGTTTAAATTAAACAACAGAAATACTTATGAATAGAACCGCTGTAATTTAAGGTTTTTGTGTAAAGATCCCGTTATTTTATTGTTGTTATTATTATTATTAAAATTAATTGGAACACATTTTACCAAACCTACACTTGTTTTTCCGCTAATAAAATATCCTTAACCCGCTTAAATTTAATATAATTACTCGGTGAGACGGTAATTAAAATTGCAAAGACTTTGTGTTATTGATCTTTAAGCCTTATTATTATTATTATTATTATTATATATTTTTCTTTTTTTTTTTTTAAATCAAGAACGAGGTATATGAGTTTTTTTTTTCTTACGTATAAAATATAACACTCGAATTTATTCTTATCAACATACTCCACTTTAAAAAACGCGAGTTTTATAAATTATACTAATAACAGTGGCTTTTATTAATATTTATTTAGAATTAATAATTAGTAATTAGTAATAATAATAGTTATTAATAATGGAAAAATTATTTATGACATCTTGTTAGCGATCGCGAGATGCAATGAGTGTAATTGACTTGTCCATTTGTCAAGAGCATTATAACGAGCTGCACACAGTGACTTTTTGTCCAATTCAAGCACTTGGTTCACCTAAACACACATATTTTATAATTAATTATTTTATTTACAGTGTCACTATCGTTATAATAAATTAATTATAGTTTCAAGTACCTGATCGATACGGCCTCGGATGCTGCTGTCGAGAATACAAGAAACAAGCAAACTTTCAACTTCAGATGCATCAATATTCAATTCTTTGCTAATGAATGGGATGTGAATTCTTGTATAAGGCTTGATTAGTTTAATAAGGACCTGTTGAATAATATAAATACATAAATTTATTGCACTGATAAATAGATGTTATTAGAATAATTAATGGTTGAGAAAATTTATTGACAATTACCTGAGTTCTAATATTACGTAATAAATCTTCAATATGTTCTCTAATAAATGGATCATCCATAATATTGTTTCTATTTTGCTTGAGAATATCTTCAAACTGACCAATATCATTATTTTGATAACTTGATACTAAATTAGTCATTGCTAAAATTTCAGGATCGTTTTTGTAGGGCTTGGCTTCTTGTGAATCAAATGGGTTTATTGCTGATTTCATCAACCTGTAATTATTAAATTTTTTATAAATAATTGTTAAACAATAATAATAATAAACATTGAAAAAAACTTCAAAAAAATTTGATAAAAATATTTTCAAAGTTAATTCTAAATTCTTAACCACAGTAGTACCTTTACTTTCTTATCCTACTACTAAATTAATAAAACTGTTTATAAAACAATGAATAGAGAAAAATATCTCAAACCAGTGGAATAAATAATCAACATTGTTTAAGGTAGTTGTCGTGGTTAAGGCATACCGCCAGAAAATTCTAAATTTATGTATACTTATTTAGGACATGATGATACAATTACCCTTAAAATTTGAAATCGATTGACCACCTATAACCCTAGGAGATGAATTCAATTAAATGGATAAGGTAAAGTACCCAGTACTTAAACACTTATAAAAATGGGATCAGTACTTGAACAGTCTTTTCGAATTGTTGTAATACAAAATCCGTATATTTGTTATGAGTAATATGCGCGTATTATAACACAGCTCTACAAAAAAAAAATTTTTTTGTGTTGCCTTGGATATTTTTGCAAATTTTTATGTTTTCGAGTACCTAAATTACGAATATATTCATGAAAATACTGAATGTGCTCTTTTTTTTATGATTTTTACGTATCTTATATTTTGAACAATTATCAGCTTGTTAGTACTAAAATTTGTTTTCCCAGTCCTGATTAAGCTTCTGCGCAACTTTTTTGTGCATACAAACATCACTTGATCTCCACTCTCAGACTCCTTGTTCCGCAAAACAGCTGATAACTCAGTTATTTGATAATATTGAAGTACTTACACGTGAATCTGGTTAAGTTGTCATATGTTAATATTTTGATTCAATTGCTGAGTGTTCATTCTAATATATTTGTCTTGTCTTTTTAAACATGAGTTCGTCACGAATAAAGTGTAAATATAGTAGTGATTTATTTTGTTATATTTGTGGTATTTATATATTAAAAAAACAAAAACGACATATCACAGACTTTGTTAAGGAGACTTATGCTGAATATTTCGGTTTTAAAATGGACAAATTAGATGAATCATGGGTTCCGAATAAAGTTTGTATTTCCTGTGTTGAGTCTTTGCGGTTGTGGGAAAAAGGAGAACGTTCTGGATTAGACTTTGGTGTTCCTATGATCTGGATGGAGCCTAAGAATCATGTTGATGATTGTTACTTTTGCGTAGTAGATGCTAAAGGTTTTAATCGAAACCAAACGTGGAGATATTCAGACTTACAGTCTACAAAATGTCCTGTTTTACACAGTGAAACTCTCCCTCGGCCTGTTTACGTTTAAAAAAGGATTCGCATGTTCTCAGAAACAATGATGTTGCCGAATTCACAGAAATCGAAACAGCAGTCTACCAGTGGAAGTGAATGGGAGGGTGAAACATCTACGCCAAAGTTATTTTCTCAAAATGAACTCAGTGATTTGATACGGGATCTAAATTTATCAAAACAGGAATCAGAACTGTTAGCGTCAAGATTGAAAGAAAAAAATTTATTTGCACCAACAGTAACAATTACAACATACAGAACGCGAGAAAGTTAGCTATTACAATTTTTTGATGAAAATGAAGGACTGGTATATTGTACTGATATTGCGAAGCTGCTTTTAGACATGGGCTTGGAAGAATACAAACCTACTGAGTGGCGTCTTTTTTATTGACAGCTGTAAAAGAAGTTTAAATTGCGTTTTACTGCACAATGGAAATAAATTTGCATCAATTCCAATTGCCCATTCAACAAAACTCAAAGAAGGATATGAAAATGTAAAATTAGTTTTAGAAAAAATTAAATACTTGGAGCATCAATGGCCGATCTGTGTAGATTTGAAAATGGTTAATTTTTTACTTGGTCAACAAAGTGGATACACGAAATACCCTTTCTTCCTTTGTATGTGGGACAGTAGAGCAAAGCAACTTCATTGGGAACAAGATGTTTGGCCTGCAAGAAATTCTCTAACTGTCGGTAAAGCCAATGTCATAAGGGAACCGTTGGTGAACAGAGACAAAATCATACTTTCACCATTACATATTAAGTTAGGAATGGAAAAGCAATTCGTTAAAGATTTGGACAAGGAAGGGGATTTTTTTAAATACATTTGTCGAAAATTTCTGAAGCTTAGTATGGAAAAGTTGAAAGGTGGAATATTTGATGGTCCTCAAATACGGCAATTGATAAAAGACGCAGATTTTATTAAAGTTATGACTGTTCCGGAAAGGGAAGCTTGGGAAAGTTTTGTGTTGGTAGTTGAAAATTTCCTAGGTAACCATAAAGCACCAAATTATGAAGAAATTGTACATAATATGCTGACAAACTTTCAGACTCTAGGAGCAAATATGAGTATCAATTTACACTATCTCCGCAATCATTTGGATAAATTTCTAGATAATTTAGGAAATTATAGTGAGGAACAAGAAAGCGGTTCCACTAGGATCTGAAAGTAATGGAAGAAAGATATCAGGGTCGATGGGACTGTTATATGATGGCAGATTACTGCTGGTCTTTAAAAAGAGTTGTCCCCTGGAAAAATTATAAAAGAAAAGCTCTTAAAAGGCGTTTTATGGAAATATAACATGTTTTCCAAATTTTCCTCTCTATTTACTTCGATATATCATATTTTTATCCAAATAAAACTGACATTATAAATATATCTGTTATTTTGTTTCTCGTTTTCCGATTTATGTAATGTAAAATAAAAATAAGTATTTAAAAAAAAACGAAAGCAAATCTTACAAAATCATTCATAATTTCATGAATTGTGAGTATAAATATATCCAAAATCAATCTTATATCTAGGGCAACAAAACCACTGTAGACCAGTGTAATAATTCAATGATACAGTAATTGATTTCTGTAAGTTTTTTCAATTATAAATCAAAACAATTATATTTTTGTTAACTTAAAAGTTGACATGTCGAGAATAGCCGAAAGATGCTATTTTTTTCATGAAAAAGATACTAAACCGTAAACCAAACAATCAGTAAAAAAAAAAAAGTATATCATAATTTTAAGTAAAAAAAATTGTACCACCCAATGAAATAGTCTTTTCTAAATAATACATATTTTTTGCAGACATAAACTATCATTTTTATATTAAATTTTAGCGTCTAACTACACCTTCAAATTTTCAAATCGGTACCCAGAACTTGAACAAGCTGGGGCCGTATAGTTTTAAAAAGCAATCTAATCTCTAATAGGTTTATAGACTAGTGATCAGCATTGTGATTTGTATTAATTACTGCAAATTAAATTAGTTTTATAGCTAAAAATTAGTGTAGTTTAAAATTATTGAACGTATTGAATTGAGTTTTTTTGATTTATAATTGAAAATTTGCTTTGTCATTCACAAAAAATGCAATTAAAAAATTAAATACAAATATTTCTTATTTTTAAATGAAAAAATTAAATATTCATAGCATTATTTTTAATATTATATAATAATATGTTACAATTTTTTTGATGTTTCAATGAAATGTTGAAAATTTTTGCTGTGCATATTGCCATATATTTTATTTGTTCAATTACTGCTCCCGGAGTGTTCAACTACTGCAGCTTGTCAGAATTGATTGTTTAACTACTACTAGAATTTGAATTTACGCGCGCAAGCGCGCGCTTTGACTATAGAGTTTGCATATATTTTCATGCTTATGATATATTCAACCAATCACGTTACGAATAGTTTGATGCCACATACATTTCATCTCAATTTTATATTCGGACTAGAATTTAATTTTCGCGCGCAAGCGCGCGCGTCATATTTATTGTCATGATATATTTATGTGTCGTTTATGTATATTATATTACTACTTTAACCAATCAGAATGAGAATATTTATTTTCGACCAATCACATCACGAATAGATTGGTTTCACATACATTTCATCTCAATTTTATTATGGGACTAGAATTTGAATTTACGCGCGCAAGCGCGCGCTTTGACTATAGAGTTTGCATATATTTTCATGCTTATGATATATTCAACCAATCACGTTACGAATAGTTTGATGCCACATACATTTCATCTCTATTTTATTATAGGACTAGAATTTAATTTTCGCGCGCAAGCGCGCGCGTCATATTTGTTGTCATGATATATTTATGTGTCGTTTATGTATATTATATTAACTTTCAACCAATCAGAATGAGAATATTTATTTTCAACCAATCACATCACGAATAGATTGGTTTCACATACATTTCATCTCAATTTTATTATGGGATCACATCACGAATAGATTGGTTTCACATACATTTCATCTCAATTTTATTATGGGACTCCTTTCATAATCTATCTTAAAAACGTTGTCAAAATATAAATATTGAATTATCTGCGTTATTTTGTGCTTCAATCAATTAAAAATTGTTTATATTTTCACGAAAATCACTAATTTGAACTAGTAATTACATCTTTATATATTAAAAGTAGGGTCGAATACGTTTTACTCCGAAACCTGTTCAACTACTGGGTATTTTACCTTATTTAACATTAATTGGATACGCTCTCTGCAGTTCTGTACCAGTTTCTTAGTTATAAAAAAAAAAACTAACTGTCAGAAACTTTAAAAAAACTGACCGTCTTTTAATGAATTCGTTATGAGTTTAAAAAAAATAAAAAAACATTTTTGACCATCTAATTACTTATAAATAACGGATTAAAGTTCAGCAATTTATGAAAAAGAATATATTTACGGAGTTGGACAGAAACAATTGTATGGGTTGCGTCTCCACGAGTACAGTCTTGCGTAAAAATTATGGATTACTTAGCTACAAACTCATATAATTTTGCAGCGCGTACAATATCTAATTTTTTGACAATATTGTACCATGACAACTACCTTAAGTTTGATACCGTAAAGTTTAAAATGATAAATTCTCAATTAAAAAAAAAAAAAAAACTTACATATTAGCAAGAACGAGATATTTAAGACACGTTGTACGTCTCGGAGATCCAGATTCATCGTAATTTTTAAAAGCTTCAAAGAAATCAGTGTGTGCTCTCTCGAACTCGCCTTCCCTGAGGTGCATTTTGCCACCACATTCTAAAAATAAGAAAAAAAAATGTAAAATTCATGACATTTATTATTAAATCAAGACACCAGTCACCTGATTGACAAGATATTAAAAATTACCTCTGATAACTCCCATAATAAGTGGATGAGGAATAGCACTCTTGATATGCAGACTCTGTTCGTACAAAGTCTTCAATTTTTTATTGTTCTTTTGCGCAGTGTACATTTGAATTTCCAGGGCATAAATTTCTAATAACTGAGTCCCCTTTTTTATATTTTTTAATAATTTTAAGAAATTAATTAAGTTTATTTTTTGTAAAATTTTACTCTAAATATTATGTATTTTTTTTAGTTTACATGTTATACTAAAAAAAATTGTAAATATATTTTTTATTAGCATTCAAAAATTTTTTTCATATAAAATTTTTTTATTTACCTTAGAATATCATTAAAGTTATATTGGAGACATCAAAGTAGGAATCACAAATTCGATAAAAAATCATGACATTAAAGTTAACAGCCACTTGATCATTTTTTAATTTTATTTAACAACTAAATTTATCCGAAAAATTATTTTAAAAAAAATTGCATTTTTAATTTATTAAAATTCCAAAATGACAATTTTTTTTTTGCTATTATTTACTTGTTTTAAAAATCCTAAAAATTATCAAATATCTGCTAAATTAATTTTCATTCAAAAATCTTTTGTAGTCCGAAAAAATTATTTCAATAAATGAAAATTTCTCAGCTTACAAGAGTGCAAAGAACTAATGATAACTAGTCCAGTTAATCTGAATGGCAGTATAAAATTTATCGTAAAATTCATCAATCGCGAAATCCAAAATGAAAGAGCGTAAATTTTAAAATATTCACTGACACTACTGACACAAGTAAAGCACATGTAGCGCAGCGCTAAATTAATACTATTTCGAGTTTCAGCGCCCCCAATGACAGAAAAGAAAATCAAAAATTTTTTTCCTCGCCCTTTTTAGCTGTTAGAGGCGCTGAAACTCGAGTTTCTGGCGCCAAAGAAAACTTTTAAATTATTTTTCACCTTTTTTACCCGTTAGAGAATAATACTGAAGTTAGTTAAGAACTTTTATAACAAATCAATTACAATAAAAAAATGTTTCTAAAAATGTCCATTTATGGGAAAAAAAATTGACATATAGAAATTTTAAAAAATTAAAAATGCAATTGTTTTAAAATAATTTTTTGGAAAAAATCTGTTTTAAAAAAATAGTTAAGTGACTGCTAATAACTTTAATGTCATTCACTAAAAATTTTTTTTAATTTTCACATGTGGAATTTTTTTATTCAATTTTTCTCATTATAATTTTATTGCTATAAAATTATAAAAAAATTTCTAATGCCTGTTTGTCAAACTTCAGTTCATTGTCAGATGCACTGAAATTAGACTTAATATTATTTTAACGTTGCACTACGGCTAATCGTAGAATTTTCGTAAATTTCAGAATACACCCTCAATAAAATAAAGTAGTATAATTACCAAGCAGCAACATCTGGCAATGATTAAATTGGAAGTTGTGTCAGCACCTGTGAGTCCTTTTTTTAAATAGTAAGTAAAAAAATTGATTTTATTTTTAACTTGCCTTTCAATTTAAATTAAAACAAGTTGTTGTCCATTGCAAATGTCTCGAAAAGATGAATAAATTTAATACGACATAATTTAAATTAAAAATTTTAATTATAAAATTAACTTTAGCCTAAATATTAAATAAAATACATTACCCATTATTTATAATAAATAACAAAATTTTTTCGATTATGGAAAAAAAATTTATTTTGATTTAATTATGACATAAAATGAAACGGTAAAGTAATTGCTCATGAGTATGAATGGGGCTATTACATTAAAAATTTAACATATAAAAACAATTATTCTTATTAATAATTAATTATTTGGTGCTTGCATCATAATAGGAATGATAAATTATTTTTAATAAGAGTAATTCTACTTATATATGATACATATGTTAATACAATCACATAAAACGTGATCAATCACTCATCATCAATAATTAATTTTTTCAACAGTCTTTAGTAACTTAAACTGAAAAAATGTAATAATTAAAAGTTAATCACTTAATCGACTTCTTCCATACGTGACGCGTCTTCGCTTTCGCCTTCAAGAGTTGGAACCTCTTCCATAGCCTTGGGCTCTTCGCTGATTGGTTCATCTTCGTCGATACCAAGACCAAGCTTGATCATACGGTAGATGCGGGCAGCGTGGACCTGGGGATCGTCAAGTGAGAACCCAGACGACAAGAGAGCAGTCTCGAAAAGAAGGACGACCAAATCCTTGACTGACTTGTCGTTCTTGTCTGCTTCAGCTTTCTGTCTCAAGTTTTCAATGACTGGGTGGTCAGGGTTGATCTCAAGGTGTTTCTTCGCAGCCATGTAGCCCATGGTTGAGGTGTCACGAAGAGCCTGAGCTTTCATGATTCTCTCCATGTTGGCGGTCCAACCGTACTGAGAAGTTACGATACAGCACGGCGAGTCGACCAAACGGTTTGAGACAACAACTTTCTCAACTTTGCTGTCCAAGATGGTCTTCATGACTTTGCAGAGCTCCTCGAATTTGGCTTTGTCTTCCTCACGTTTTTTCTTTTCAGCCTCGTCTTCGGGAAGCTCCAAGCCTTCCTTGGTGACTGACACGAGCTGCTTACCGTCGAATTCTTTCATTTGTTGTACAACGTATTCGTCAATGGGCTCAGTCATGTAGATAACCTCGAAGCCGCGTTTCTTGACACGCTCAACGAATGAACTGTTGGCTACTTGTTCTTTGCTTTCACCAGTAATGAAGTAAATGTGTTTCTGGTTTTCCTTCATACGACCAACGTAGTCCTTGAGCGAGCAGCTCTCTTCACCGGATGCTGAAGTGTGGTATCTCAATAAATCAGCGAGCTTGCTACGGTTTGAACTATCTTCGTGGATACCCAGCTTCAAGTTCTTGCTGAATTGTTCGTATAATTTTTTGTAGTTCTCTTTGTCCTCAGTAAGTTCTTCGAAGAGCTCCAAGCATTTCTTCACCAGGTTCTTACGGATCACCTTGAGGATTTTGTTTTGCTGCAACATTTCACGAGAAATGTTGAGTGGCAAGTCCTCGCTGTCAACTACTCCCTTCATGAAGTTAAGGTACTCTGGGATTAATTCCTCGCAGTTGTCCATGATGAACACACGTCGGACGTAAAGCTTGATGTTGTTTTTACGTTTCTTATTCTCGAAAAGATCGAAGGGCATACGACGTGGTACGAAGAGAAGAGCACGGAACTCGAGTTGACCCTCAACAGAGAAGTGTTTCACTGCTAAATGGTCTTCCCAGTCGTTGGTCAATGATTTGTAGAACTCGCCGTATTCCTCCTGGGTGATATCATCTGGGTTTCTTGTCCAGATGGGCTTGGTTTTGTTAAGCTCCTCATCTTCGGTATATTTTTCTTTGATAGTCTTCTTCTTCTTTTTCTTTTCCTTCTCCTTGTCTTCTTCTTCATCTTCACCAACATCTTCAATCTTTGGTTTGTCGTCTTCGTCTTCCTTCTTTTCAGCATCAGCTTCTGGCTCGGCCTCGTCGTCACTCAGTTCCTTCTCACGTTCCTTTTGGACTACCAGCTTAATTGGGTAACCAATGAACTGCGAGTGTTTCTTTACGATTTCCTTGATCTTGCTCTCCTCGAGGTACTCAGCTTGGTCTTCTTTGATGTACAAGACAATCTTGGTACCACGGCCAAGAGGCTCAGAGTTGTCAGCTCTGACAGTGAATGAACCACCGGCAGCTGATTCCCACAAGTATTGCTCGTCGTCGTTGTGCTTTGAAGTTACAGTAACTTTGTCAGCTACCAAGTAAGCTGAGTAGAAACCGACACCAAATTGACCAATCATAGAGATGTCAGCACCAGCTTGCAAAGCCTCCATGAAAGCTTTCGTACCGGATTTTGCAATTGTTCCCAGGTTGTTGACCAAGTCAGCTTTAGTCATACCAATACCAGTATCAATGATGGTAAGAGTGCGGTCATTTTTGTTGGGAATGATCTTGATGTACAAGTCCTTGCCACTGTCCAATTTAGATGGATCAGTCAGAGACTCGTAACGAATCTTGTCCAATGCATCACTCGAGTTGGAGATCAATTCACGGAGGAAGATTTCTTTGTTAGAGTAGAAGGTGTTGATGATCAATGACATCAACTGTGCGATCTCCGCCTGGAAAGCGAAGGTCTCAACTTCTGCAGATGAGGTATCCATTCCTTCCGGCATCTAGATAAAAAAAAAAAAAAAAAAAAAAAAAATTATTTAGTATTTTGTATAATAAAAAATATTAGTTGATTTTTTTTTTTTTTTTAAAGCAAGTATTGATTTCATGCGTTCAAGATTGAGGTTAGATTAAAAATTATTTACTATGTTTGAATAAAATAAAATTAAATGGATGAACAATACAAAAACACGTGATTAATTATTCTAGATGAATCAAACTAAAAAGTGATTACTAAATGTCATTAATTAAACTCACTTATTTACAAAATAAAAACCGTGTACACTAGATAGGAACGAAGTTCAGTAATCACGTAGACTATACATGAGACACTGTATAGCCATCATAGCATCATACATAGGCTATGCATAAAAATCTAACGCTTTTTTTTTTTTTAACGTTACAGACGTTTTTTTGCTGGTTAGGTTACCCCTCCGCAACGCCCCATAAAGAGCTTCATTCCGAAAATTGATTTTTGGATTAAAAAAAAGACATTGAATGCAAAAAACTAATTCAAACAATTTTAATAAATTACCCAATAATGTAAATTGTAAAAATTTCGAATTAAGAAGCCTCGTGGAATAGTTGATTAAATTCACTTAAATATACCAAAAATGATGAAACTTTAAATTTAATATAATATAGAAACGAAAAATCATTAGTTGGCGTCGTTAAAATAAATTTACTCGAATAGTACGTAATATTTCAAAAAAAATGAATCACTAATGATAAAAACAAATTGTTAATTATATGTAATTAATGTGATAAAATTGATAAAACATACCTTTGCAGTGATTTTTTATAAGAGAAAATACAATAAAACTCGTTGAGTATGAACACGTTTGTATGTAGTGAGGTATCGCTCAGCAATGTGCGGCGGCGGTATACAGCCTCCTTATATATTCTCAACGTAGATAGAATGTTCTAGAATCTTCGAGAACATTCGCACCGCTTTGCTGCCGTACTTCCGTTCAAATTACCCTCCAATAAATAATTATTTTGACATTCGATATTTTTTAACTCCCAACTTTTTCACTGCAAAAATTATTTTAAAAAAATAA